TTAAATGTCTGGTAGAATTCAGCAGTGAATCCATCTGGTCCTGGGCTTTTCTTTGTTGGGAGGGCCTTTATTTCTGTTTCAATTTCTGTCTCAGTTATGGGTCTGTTTAGGTTTTCGATGTCTTCCTGGTTCAATTTAGGTAGGTTGCATGTGTCCAGGAATCTATCCATTTCTGCTAGGTTTCCCTGTTTGCTGGCATACAAGTCCTTGTAGTAATTTCTGATGATTCTTTTTATTTCTGTGGTGTCTGTTGTTACATTTCCTATTTCATCTCTGATTTTATTGATTTGGGTCTTTTCTCTTCTTTTTTAGTTAGTTGGGCAAATGGGGTGTCAATTTTGTTTATTTTTTCAAAAAACCAGCTCCTCACTTGGCTGATTTTTTGGAATGTTGTTTTGGATTCAATCCTATTGATTTCTTCACTGATTTCAATTATTTCTCTTCTCCTACTAGATTTGGGTCTGGTTTGCTGTAGTTTTCTAGATCCTTGAGATGCATTGAAAGCTCATCTATTTGGTGCCTTTCCAATTTCTTGATGTAGGCACCTATTGATATAAACTTTCCTCTTAACACTGCTTTTGCTGTGTCCCATAAGTTTTGATATGTTGTGCTATTGTCCTCATTTCTTCCAGAAAGTTTTTGATTTCTCTTTTGATTTCTTCTATGACCCAGTGTTCATTCAGGAGCATGTTGTTCAATCTCCATGTGTTTGCATATGCTCTAGGGATTCCTGAGTTGCTAATTTCCAACTTCATTCCTTTATGGTCTGAGAAGCTGCATGGTATGATTCTAATTCTTTTGAATTTGCTGAGACTTGCTTTATGGCCTAGTATGTGGTCAATCCTAGAGAAGGTTCCATGTACTGCTGAGAAGAATGTAAAATCTTTAGCTGTAGGATTGAAAGTTCTGTATATATCTGTTAGATCCATTTGGGCTATAGTGTCAGTTTAAATCTACTGTATCCTTGTTGATTTTCTGTCCAGTTGATCTGTCTATTTCTGAGAGTGGAGTATTGAAGTCCCCCAGTACTATTGTATTGGAATCTAAGTCTCCCTTTAAGTCCCTTAACAAATCTTTTAGATAAACCGGTGCCCTGTAATTAGGTGCATATACATTGATAATTGTTATATCTTCCTGTTGAATTGATCCCTTAATCATTATATAGTGCCCCTCTTTGTCTCTCTTAACAGTTTTTGTGTTAAAGTTTATGTTGTCCGATATTAAGATGGCTACACCTGCTCTTTTTTCATTTCTGTTGGCATGGTATATCTTTTCCAGCCTTTCACTTTCAGTCTGCATGCATCTTTTTGGAAAGATGTGTTTCTTGTAAGCAGCAAATACATGGGTTTTGTTCCTTAACCCAATCAGCCAATCGGTGTCTTTTAACTGGACAGTTCAGGCCATTCACGTTCAATGTGACTAATGATAAGTGGTAACTTTGCCCTGCCATTTGCCAAAGATAAGTTCTAATATATGTTTTGAATTCCCTGTGATCTTTTGCTCTGAGGTTTCCTTCCTTTACCTTCTTTCATATTGATGACCATGTTTCTGTGTTTCTGTGTTTCACACATCTTTAAGCATCTGTTGCAGGGCTGGACGAGTGGCGACAAATTCTTTCAATGTCTGTTTGCTATGAAAAGTCTTTATTTCACCTTCATTCACAAATGATAGCTTTGCAGGATATAATATTCTGGGCTGGCAGTTTTTCTCTCTTAGTACCTGGGCTATATCTCGCCATTCCGTCCTAGCTTGTAGGGTTTCTGATGAGAAGTCAGCTGTGAGTCTGATTGGAGATCCTCTGAGAGTAATCTGACGTTTCTCTCGTTGCACATTTTAGGATCTTTTCTTTATGTTTCACTGTGGAGAGTTTAATTACAACAGTGTCATGGTGAGGATCTCTTTTGGTCATGTTTATTAGGGGTTCTGTGAGCTTCCTGTACTAGGATTTCTCTGTCCCTTCTCCAAACCTGGGAAATTTTCTGCTAATATCTCACTAGAAAGGCCTTCTAATCCTTTCTCTCCTCTCCATGCCTTCAGGAACTCCTAGAACCCGAATGTTGGGTTTTTTAATAGTATCCTGAAGATTCCTGACAATATGTTTTAGATTTCTAATTTCCTCTTCTTTTCTTTGGTCTGACTGTATCCTTTTCCTGTTCTCTGTCTTCTAAGTCCGATATTCTCTCTTCTGCTTCACCCATTCTGTTTGTAAGGCTCTCTATTGTGTTTTTCATTTGATCTATTGAATTCTTCATTATGATTTCTCATCACTATCACGGTTTCCTGTTGTACTAGTTGTTTCATTTCATTTTGATTCCTCCTTAATATTTCATTTTCACGAGAGAGATTTTCTATCTTGTCCATTAAGGATTTCTGTAGTTCAAGAATTTGTTTTTGAGAACTTCTTAATGTTCTTATCAATTTTTTGAGATCTGCTTCTTGCATTTCTTCTAACTCATCATCTTCATAATCTTGAATTGGGGTGTCTTTTTCATTTGAGGGCATCATGGTGACTTCCTTGTTTTTATTATCTCGGTTTTTGCGTTTGTTATTTGGCATATTGGAGATATTTGGTTTCTTCACTGTGGTGCTTTTTCTTGTTATACTATGACTCTAGATTAAGTGGACTATCTGTTTTTGATGGAGCCTTAGAGGCTTGAGATGGGTGTGGCCTGAGAGCTCTGTTTGGTGTGCCAAAGGTGACACTCCCAGGTTAGGCGTGGTAGATCTCTCTCTCTCTCTCTCTCTTTCTTTGATTCAAAAGGGAAGTAATTCCACACAGCTGAACGAAGTTGGAGGTAGTTAGCAGGCAAATGATATACCCACAGGAGCCAGAGATCAGAAGCTCTTTCCCAAGGACCACACAGGGAATCTGTTCTGCCCTCAGGGTGGGCTCAGATTCTCCTTCAGTCTCCTACTGGGTTGCCAAAGTTACGGAATTGTAGCATCTCTGGAGAGTACTCACGTGAATTCTGTGAGTTCTCTCCCCCACTCTTTTTTACAGTCTCAGTTCAGTAGCACCACAAATTTACTAGGTCCTAATCTCCTGTTAATTCGCCCCGCCCAGAGTCAGGTTTTTCTGCTAGGCTCAGAGCCGGTGCAGACCTGAGGTCGCTCTGCTTATGACGTATGTCCAAGATGGCGCCTGCTCTTTGTCTTGCTCGCCCTTGAGAGGTGAGCGGAGAGAGAGAAACCCGTGTCCATACCAGTCACCTTTTTTTTTCTCTCTCTCTCTCTCTTCCAGTTAGCCTGGTGAACTTTTCCCCCCCACCGGGGGTCATTCCCTCTAGTCTCCTCTCTCCGCTTGCCTGCCGGTGTCTCAGGCTATTGAGGTTCGGCTCACCTCGCGTTCCAGCGCTGGTGTGTTGAGTCTGCTGCTGGTGTCCCGAACTGTGGGCTCCCACGCTCTGCACGCAGATCCGCTGTGAATCACGCATTCCAGAAGAGTTTCTTCTGCTGTTTCCTCTCCTACTCTTCCTTGAACCTGCAGTATCTCCACTTTTATTAAACTATCTCTCCCCGGACTATCAGTGTGCTCCCTTCCTATTCTGCCATCTTGCCTCCTCTCTGTAATCTTCACCTGGTCTTTATTCATGTATTGCAGACATGCTGGGACCAGAGTGTGGAGTAGCAGGTAAAGCCAGTGCCTGCAGCTGTAGCATCCTATGTGGGCACTGGTTCAGTCCTGGCTGCTTCACTTCTGATCCAATTCTATGCTAATGGCCTGGGGAAAGTGTCAGAAGATGACCCAAGTGTTTGGGTCCCTGACACCCATATGGGAGACCAGGAAGAAGCTCCTTGCCTCAGCCTGGTCCAGCCCTGACTGTTGGGGTCATTTGGGATGTCAACCAGCAGATGGATGTTCATTCTGTAATGACATTCAAATAAATGAATCTTAAAAAAAAAGGCAAATGTACCTTCCTCTAGTTACTTCTGCCTCCTCTATTTCTGGGTAAATTAACTGGTTCCTAAAAATAGCTTTCAATGGTGTCAGCATTTTGTAAAAAATATGAGATTTTATTTAGCCAATTTTGTTTCACATGGACATTCTAATATCAAAATTAACATCTTTGCCTGAGATCTTCTAAAAAAGTTTCAACATTGTGATGCACACAATTTACTCTGATTTGTCCAGAGTAATCTGCCATTCAGTTATATCACAATTCTGTTGTCCACGATCTCAGTTAGAAAGACCCTGCTCACAAAAATGTCATCAGAATGCAGTCCTAGGGATATTTTCCCTTATTTTTCCTCTGGGTTTTTCCAATTGGCTTAGACATAACTTTCCTTTGAGGAATGAAGGCAATATTCTTCCACTATACTTTGCCTGCAGAATTCCTGTTCTAGCTCGACTTGTGGAATTGTGTTCAGAATAAATCTAAGGGTATACAACTTAACATGCTTATAGAATCAATGATAGCGACTTCTTCAATCTCAAATCACTTAGAATTCCTCCAATGAACCTGGGAAGGAAAACCATATCAAAAATACATTCACTGTCTTTTTATAGCCCCCAAAGAGTCAGAGTGAAAGAAGGAGTCTTATATCTTTAGGAGTACACTTTTGGTATTTAATCGAAGAAGTAAAACTGAGAGTAGACTTTACTATCACAATAACTCAAATGAAGATTTCAAAAAAAGTGAACTGCTAAAGGGAAGATTAGTAGCATTTGTAAGGAGCTAAGGACACAGGAGGACAAAGACTGAAGAAAAACACCCTTATTTGATGTAGGCAAAGCAGAAATGAGAAGCCCCTCCTTGTTCCATGTCTGGCTATTTGCTAAATGAAATAATTTTGTGATCACGCTCAGTCTATCTGGTTTTGATCCTATCCACAAATTGTTTTAGCCAAGTAAATGCTATATAAAATATGGCAGGGTGAACTGATACATGGTCAGTATGCAGCATTCTGGATTTTCATGCTATGACCCATTTACAAAACTCATTGAGCTTTGTGCCACAGGTATACCACAGCCTAGAGACACGGGGGTCTCTGCTGATGAGTACAAAGGGGCTAACACAAGAGAAAGATGAAGCTATAACGGCAGTGGTGTTCACCAGCCACCAACTGGGTTTATCAAAGAGGGACATATAGAAAGTAAAGAAGGAAGACAGTGCATAAAAATAGAAAAATGTGCTCACTAGCATCAGGATGCTGTGGGTGGCTCTTGTCTCCGGGGAGCATTTGGGAGAGAGGTTTTTGCTGTGAATGTGTAGGACCTTCTGCTTATGTCTGTACGAAATGATCAACATGCAGCCACTGGCCCAAATCATTAACACCAAATACAACACGTCAGTGAAGGAAAACATCATGGAATACCATAAGGATATACTTCTGTCAATAATTATGCCAGAACAGAACCCTAAATCCTTTTTCTCTGTGAGATTGTTGCTTTCCCCCATCGCTGTAATATACATAGGAACAATACTATTCACCAACAGGTGAAGGGTCCAGCAGAGCAGAATGGAAAGTCGAACAGATTTGAGGGCTTTGACCTTGAGCTCCATCCACTGGGGGCTGCTAAGGCTGATTGTGATGGCCTGGAAGCCACTCAAGAGAGAAGTAGCACTCAGAGACGCCCCTCTGGCCACTCTGTGAACATAGAAAACTAGTTTGCATCCAAAATCGTCCATGAGATATTTCAGCCCAAAAGCTGCCATGGTCTGAGGAATGCCTTTTGAGAGAAGAACCAAGCAGTTGGCTACAATTAGGTTATGGAGAATCAAATCCATGTGCGTTATCCCTCGTCCAGTGCAGGAAAGGAAGCGATAGCAGAGAAGGAGCAGGATGTTTCCTAGGAATCCGACTCCTGTCTGAGAGACAAAGATGATTCCCATGGTCAGAGCCCTGGATGGCATGCAGTCACAAGGGCAGTAGTTCACGCAAAGCCAGTGAGTCCTGGAAAGAAATGGAGCTAACGTAGTTCATCAAGGTAGCTTACTTTTATTTCTTACTTCCACCCATTTTTTTCCCACTCAGAAAAGCCTACTAGCAAAATACATTGTTCAATAGTCCAATCCTCCACCTGCAGCGCTGGCACCCCGGGTTCTAGTCCTGGTTGGGGCACCGGATTTTGTCCTGATTCCTCCTCTTCCAGTCCAGCTCTCTGCTTTGGCCCGGCAGTATAGTGGAGGATGGCCCAAGTCCTTCGGCCTACACCCACATGGGAGACCAGGAGAATCAGTGGCTCCTGACTTTGGATCAGCACAGTTAGCTGGCCGCAGAGGCCACTGGGGGGTGGAATGGAAATTAAAGACCTTTCTCACTGTCCACTCTGCCTGTCAAAAAAAAAAAAAAGAAAAATACGTTCTTTGTATTTTTTAAAAGATTTATGTATTTGAAAGTCAGAGTTGTACATAGTGAGGAGTAAATGGAGAGAGAAAGAGAGAGAGAGAGAGAGAGAGAGAGAGAGAGAGAGAGAGAGAAGTCTTCCATCTGTTGATTCACTCCCCCAATTGGGCTCAATGGCTGGAGCTGTGCCGATGTGAAGTCAGGAGCCAAGAGTTGCTTCCAGGTCTCCCACACTGGTGCAGGGGCTGAAGGTCTTGGGCCAGCTTCTACTGCTTTACCAGGCCTTAGCAGAGCACCAGATCCTAAGTAGAGCAGCCAAGATAGGAACCAGCACCCAAATGGGATGCTGGCACTGCAGGTGGCAGGCTTTACCTGCTATGCCACAGCACCAGCCCTGGTATTTTCTTAAGATGCATTTGGATGCTTGTTGTATGTGTATTCTTGTGGGGTGTGTGTGTGTGTGTATGTGTGTTTTGGTGACATTTTTCTAACATTTTTCCTCCGTATTTATCTTGTTCCTGTAATATATCATTTTCTTGTCTCGTTGTGTTATGACATCCTTCTACATAGTCTTTGTTCAAACACTCCTCTGCTGACCTCATTATTCCATAGAGCAGTCTCATATTTGTATGAAAAATCAGAAATTCAAATTGCAACATGGATGCACAATTTTGTAGGAGAAGAGTGACTGAATAATTCATTATGAAAACATTAAATTATACAGTCTTAGTGCAGTTCTGTATTAAAATGGTGAAGCCAAAGATTTACTCTTATTTCATTTGGACACAAATGTACTATGACCACAATCACAGCAAATACTTAGACATTAGAATATACGAAGAATAACAGCACATGCACATTAAAATATAAAATACTATAAAGAAAAACATCAAAAGACTCTATTTGTACAGAATTCAAGTCTCTTTTGTAGAAGATTAATTAACATTTTAGTAGAATTAATGATGGTCAAATAAAATAAAACACAAAGTCCATAATATCCATGCATTTCAGTATCAGTCATGATAAAAAATATATTTAAGGCTCTTAAGTACATCTTGAAATTCCAAAGTCTGAATCATGACAAAAAGAACCAGAATACAGAGCAATAAGATAGTAGAACACCAAAGTACCAGAAAGTGGCAACATAATTCTGAAGGCATTAATAAAATTCATAAAAAGACAGAGGCACAGTGCCGTGGGCTGGGACCAATTTTGATGGCGCTCCAGTGTTACACAACACAACTGTAGCATCATCACATTTCTAATCAGCTCTCAATATATCTGAATTATTTAACCTAAATGATGTACATGGATAACTAGATGAATACAAACTAGCAAGTTATAAAAGAGTTTTTGAAGAATAATTTAAAACATAAATGTGAGCAAGACATTTTGTGCTTTATCCTTTATCAAAATATTCCATGAAGTTTATGCACTCAACTGCGGTGTTTTTGTAAAACACATAAGGAAGCAATAATGTAAGTTCACATCGCATTGTTACAGAAATAGAAGGAATTCTGATTACTTAACCCAGCTAGGGTAGTAGACAGCATCTGATCAGGTGACGTACCCAAGGAGGTGTCTTGTCAGATGGTGGCACATAGTGATGTGGGGGACAGTGGAACTCTTGAGCACTGTAGAACACCAGTGGAAAAATTAGAAGAAATATATATTTACAGCTTCTTCAGAGGAGCAATGCCAAAGCACTCTATATCACAGGTAAGTCATGCTCAGGCCAAACCAAGCACACTATATAGTCATGCATGGGGCAGTTTGATGAACTCAGACAGTGTGTTGAATTATATATGTATATGTCAAAATATCAGTGAAACGTGTCAGAGTTCCTGTTCTCACCAGTTAACTGAAAATAAGTTTTATCTCCTTGTTTTTTTCTCCTTTTTATAAAACTGCAGAATTTGGCTTCATAGACATTAATTTTTCTCCAAGCCTATTACTTTTATTAACATACACCAATATGCATCACTCCACTATAGCTGTTAGAGAAATTAAATATGTTCTTCTCCCTAGCAATACACAGATGCTATGTCTCCATCTCTCTCTCACACACACAAATGCACATCCATATTCAGCTCTTTATTGAATCAACTGATTAAAGGAGACTGGAAGGCATTGGCAACTATCAATGAGGAAACTGAATTATGCTGAGGCCCAGGAAGGCAGTAGAGGATGGCCCAAGTGCTTGGGTCCTGCACCCGCATGGGAGACCAGGAGGAAGCACCTAGCTCCTGGCTTTGGATCGGCACAGTACGCCGGCTGTGGTGGCTATATGGGGGGGGTGAACCAACAGAAGGAAGACCTTTCTCTCTGTCTCTCTCTCTCTCACTGTCTAACTCTGCCTGTCAAAAAATTGAATTAAAGTGTGAATAAATGGACTTAAGAATGGATTAAAACATGATTTTGGAAACTAGGTAAAAATATCACAGGTCATGTTAGAATCAAATGCCTGTTAAAGATGCTGGATGGTTTTGCACAGACATCTGAATTGATGAAATCCTTTGTCTCTTTAAGACTACTTTCCTTTTCTCATTCAAGAGGGGAAAATTCTTTTACAGACCATGCTTCTTGAGAGAGAAACAATCACTGTCTCTTTTAATCAAACCAGGGGCTCAGAATCAGTGTAACATAGTTTTCAAATTCCACAAATGATCACTTTCTTACCTAGTGACTGCTCATGAGGTGAGGAGTTAGCAAGTTTTATGATTCCTTATCACACACATGGAAATAATAAGTGTATGACTCCTGAAATTCCTGCAAACCCAAACCTACGACCTTCTCATTGCCATGTTCCACACTGAACCAGCATCACAGGTGATCACACTACTGAAATGAGAGATCAGAGACAGACAAGGAGATTCTTACCTGCAGCTGCTCTTGAGAAGTCTGGGTTATGGCTTAGCAGCCATCCCTCCCTCCTCTTTGGAAGCTTATTTACACTCCAGTGCTGCCTTTGTCAAGGATCTCAATGTTTCTAGGTATCTTCCCTTTCTAGACTGATTCAGAGCCATTTTCTATGGAGCTTCTGTCCCCAGATGAAGGTGTAGTCCCTAAAAGGATGTCTTTTTCCAGGAGGATGGCCCAGTGATGACAGAGCATGGGTTGTGGGGAGGCCGCAAGACCCAGAAGAGATCATTTAGAATTCTCTAACCTGGGTTCCCTCTAGAGCTGTGATTACCCTGCCACCTGTTTCTATGATGAGAGTGACTGCTTGGGGAGCCAGGGTAACTCTGAAAAACTGTTGTCTCTCCTACCAATTGCCAGAAACAATTCCTAGTGGTTACTAAGTCTCTCCAAAGGATCAGAAAGTAACAGTTTGAGAAAAACTTGACTGTGTTCCATTGAAACTGACAATCTCTCTCCTTTGGGGACAGGGTCAAACACAGTGAGATTTGGGTTGTGAGACTGCAAACCAGAGTGCTCACCATGCGGTTACCTATGTCCATGCTGAGGTTTGACCCTGACTCCTCAGATTCCTGTGAAAATAGGATGTTAGGAAAGAACCCAAAAGTAAGCGGTTGCTAGGTAAGGGGGTGAGGAAGCCTGGGAAAGCACAGTAGCAACTGCAGGACTAAGTCCTCTCATCCTGAATGGCTGCCTCCCACCACCCTCTTTCAGTTGAGTTTCTGCAGTGCACGTCAACCTGGCTTCCTTGCACCACCTTTGTTGCTTTGGAAGTCAGCTCTCAACCCAACAGCCAATGTGACTCAGTGTATGAGGCACAAATGATAATTTCTGGTTAAGCCCCGCAGTATCCATGTTTTCCTGAGAAAAGTATCCTATGGAGCCTCAGAGCTACTCCTGCGTTACCTGTCTAACCTCTTGTTGTCCACACTGCTTCTCATTTTCCTGGTTCCATATACACCAGCTGCCTGGCTCTGCTGGAACAACTTGTGCCTTATTTTTGGTCATATCCACCTAAATATTCACATTAAGTCTTGTTCATCTACTTTCATTTTTGAGTCCAATATCATCATTATTTTTTCTTTTCTTTTTAAATTTATTTGATTTATTTTAAAGACAAAGTAACAGAGAGAGGCAGAGACAGAGAGAGAGGTCTTCCATCCTCTGGTTCACTCCCCAGTTGGCAGCAATGGCGGAACTGCGCTGATCCAAAGCCAGGAGCCAGGAGCTTCTTCTGGATCTCCCATGCAGGTGCAGGAGCCCAAGGATTTTGGCCATCTTCTACTGCTTTCCCAGGCCATAGTAGAGAGCTGGATCAGAAGAGGAGCAGCCTGGACCTGAATCGGCATCCCTATGGGATATGGCGCTGCAGGCTGGGGCTTTAACCCACTGTGCCACAGTGCCAGCCACCCAGTATCATCTTTTCAATCAGGCCTGCACTTACTACTTTTTTTTTTGACAGGCAGATTGGACAGTGAGAGAGACAGAGAGAAAGGTCTTCCTTTGCCATTGGTTTACCCTCCAATGGCCGCCGCGGCCAGCATGCTGCAGCCCGGTGTGCCGGCGCCGCAAGGCGGAGGATTAGCCTAGTGAGCCGCGCCGCCACCTACACTTACTACTTTACATCCCACATGCACCCCTGCACTATGCATCCCCTGATTAGCTTGTTGTCAGTTTTTTCCTGTGATACATCTCAGACACAGAGACAATGGTAAATACACATGAAGTATTCCACAAGTGTTTATTGAAACACACTGAAGGAAATTTTCTTGACTTTCTCCTGATTCATTAGCAACATTATTTTAATTCCCCACTTTCCTTTTCTTTGTCTTATTCTTTAAGGCTATTACTGGGCATAGTTCTGATAAACAAAACATATTCATAATGTTCGTAATTGGGAGATGAAACCCCTGGGTCAGACAGAAACACAACCTGGCTTTATCTTCGGATTTCCCCTCCCACTCCTTCCATCTTACTGCCCTTATATCATCTGTCATTTCCACCTGGTCTCTCTCTCTTTTTTTAAAGATTTATTTTTTAATTGAAAATCAGAGTTACACAGAGAAGAAGAGTAAGAGAGAAAGAGAAATAGAGAGAGAGAGAGAGAGAGAGAGAGAGAGAGAGAGAGGTCCTACCTCTGCTGGTTCAACCCCCAGATGGCAACAATGGCCGGAACTGTGCTGATACAAAGCCAGGATCAGGAGCCTCCCCATGGTCTCTCATATGGGTGCAGGGGCCCAAGGACCTGGGCCATCCTCCATTGCATTCCCAGGCCATGGCAGAGAGCTGGATCAGAAGTGGAGCAGCCGGGACTCACACCAGCACCCATATGGGATGCCAGAACTGCAGGTGGTGGCTTTACCCACTATGCCACAGCACCGGTCTCTTTCATGTATTACAAAATGCATTCTCTTTTTCATTCTTGCCTCATCTATCTCTGGATAAATTAACTAGTTTAGAATAACAGCTTTCTGTGATATCAACAGTTTGCATTCTTAAAAAATGTGAATGATACATTAATTAGTCATGTTTTTGGCCATTGAAACTCTGGGAATTCAAAATTAACATCTTACAGACACCAGAAAAATTTCAGCCTTGTTTTGCACACTGTTCTTTTGCACTTTGTTCAGAAGAACCTTACGAGCTAGCTACCATCCAATCACACGTGGGTCCTGTGGTCCGTGATTTCACTTAGAAAGCTCGAGTCTGCAAGGAGGGCAAGGAGTGTGGCCCCAGGGAAGCTTCTGCTTGTTTTTCTCTAGGTTTTTCCAGTTGGCTCAGGCAGAACTCACCCTTGAGGAATGAGGACAATATTATTCCCACTGAAGTTTTCCCCAGTTCACATACCAGCTGGACTTGGATTTTCTGGAGGTTTCAGTTGAGGAACAGGAACAAAGATTATGATCCCCCTCCGACCACCACCAACCACCACGATCTACAGTTCCCTGAGCTGAGCCTTAAGGTCAAAGTTCATGTCAGCTCCAGACATGCCTGGGAGATGCTGAACTTGACCACTACGGCTCCTAGGCACTGGGCTTCACCATCTGGGCATTCACACTGCACTTGGCAACTTCTTGCTGAACACTGTTTTGGAAAAACCCCAGGTCTTGCGCAAGAACTTGAAATCTCAGCGAACAAAGGCAAGATTCTGGAACAGTGCAAGAAGTAGTGTGGAAACTAGAAAGATCTGTGAGAGGCTGTAGGCAGTCTAGACAGTCCCAGCAAGTGATTGGGGCAGAGTTGGTAATGCATTTCCACCCCAGAAGTCATCCTTTCGTGCTACTTATGAAAATCCCTGTGCTAGCTCCTCCTGTTCTACTCTCTGATTTCTGTCCCAGGTGGGATCTGGGGCAACCTGGTCTAGGTCTAGGCCTTTTTCTAGGCCTGGGTGAGAGACTGGACAAAGAAGAGCACCTTCTGCACCAACTCTGGTGGTTGGAAGTCGAGTTCAAGGAAGCAGTGGGTTTGGTGCCTGTTGAGGGAAAGCTTCCTGGTTGACCACATCTTTTGGCTGTGCCCTCACATGATTGCTGCACATGGTTTCTCCTGAGGCAAACACAAGTCCCCATTTAGACATGGTCATAGCAGCTCTAAGTGAAATGATAATTACTTCCTAGAAAGAGTTGACTTCATACTGGCCTGTCTTTATTTCACCTGTCTACCCACATTCCGTAATCATGACAGACACTGTCACTGTGGGTGATTCTGTGCCTAGCTGGGGGATTGCCTGCCTCCCCCATGCATGGGTAAGGAGGGTGTGGTACACCACACCTCCCAGGATGGCCTGACTGTTGCAGGTGGCAGGAGCACCAGGCACATTTCCCCCACCCCCTTCCCATCCCTGTTGAAGGGTCTTGTAATTAACAGTCAGGGAAACAGCACCCGGGTGAAGCCTAGACCCAGTAGGACCTCCTGGAAAGCTACTGTAGCAAAGTGACGTTCAAGCTGATTGGAGAAGCATACCAGTGCCAGTGTCAGCTCTATCCTACAGAATTAGTGTTTCCCTGAATTAGCTGCCTGCCCATTAAAAGGGGAGCTTGATTGTTAATAAAAGGGACACATTTGCCATAACTTGTCTCTGGTGCTCCTTGCTAAAGAACGCATCGCCCCACCCCAGCACTGTGGACCTCGCAGGCCGAGTCTGTATTTATTTCCCCTGTCCACATGTATTCCGAAATCATGACAGACACTGTCTCTTCAGGAAATGTCATTTTGTAAGGGGATCTTCCTTTTGGGTAAGATATCGATTTTTATGGAAATCGGATATTTCTTAGAAAACCTTGTAAGAAATATTGTGTGAAAATTTAATTCTATTTTTCTTTTTCTAGCTTTGGAACCCTGATAAATATCGATATGAGGTATATTTTCTGAGGGTTCTTGAAAAGTACACATGTTCAAGATTGATGGGATGGGGCCAGTGCTGTGGCATAGCCAGCAAAGCTGCCGCCTGCACACTGGCATCCCCTGTGGGTTCCAGTTCAAGACCTGGCTGCTCCACTTCCAACCCAGCTCTCTGCTATGGCCTCAGAAAGCAGTGGAAGATGGTCCAAGTGCTTGAGCACTGCACACACATGGGAGATCAGGAAGAAACTCCTGGTTCCTGGCTTCTGATCGGCATAGCTCCAACTGTTGTGGGTATTTGGAGAGTGAACCAATGGAAGGAAGACCTCTCTCTCTCTACCTCTCTCTCTCTCTCTTTAAAACTACCTTTCAAAGAAATTTTTAAAAATGCATCTTCTGGGCCGGTGCTGCGGTTCCATAGGCTAATCCTCCACCTTTTGGCACCGGCACACCGGGTTCTAGTCCCGGTCATGGTGCCAGATTCTGTACTGTTTGCCCCTCTTCCAGGCCAGCTCTCTGCTGTGGCCAGGGAGTGCAGTGGAGGATGGCCCAAGTGCTTGGGCCCTGCACCCCATGGGAGACCAGGAGAAGCACCTGGCTCCTGCCTCTGGATCAGCACGGTGTGCCAGCCGCAGCACGCTGGGTGTGGCGGCCATTGGAGGGTGAACCAATGGCAAAGGAAGACCTTTCTCTCTGTCTCTCTGTCTCTCTCTCACTGTCCACTCTGCCTGTGGAAAAAAATGCATCTTCTCATTCCCTGCCCATCCCATAATCAGCTTCTCCCAGACCAATCACTCATCATGTAGCACACTGCATAATTAATCTGTTATTGACATTTTATATGCTGTCCCATTCTCAATTACAATATTGCTGCAATACAGGAAGTTTCTTTCCTAGCTGTCTTTCACTTCTCTGATACATCACATGCGTGAAGAATAATATATTATGTACTTTAGGTGCTTAAGGAGTATATGGATGTAACAAATAAAGGCATTGACTTGACTGTGGGGAGCAACTCGGACTAGACTGTTACTGGAATTAAGACTTATTCTATGCATCTGCTCTCCCACAATATAGCACTGGGAGAGGAGGAAATAGCTTCTACGCAGCTGCCTCTTGCCAACTTGAGTGATGACCTCCAGGAGCTGATCCTGCTCCTGATTGGAGGAGAGCAGCGTACTCGGCGTGTGGGTAGCAGAGTTGGGATTGGTGGAAGAGGACTATAAAGGAGGAGAGAGACAACATGCACCAGGAACATCTAAGGGGAACATCTGAGGGAACACCTGTGCAGCCCCCGAGAGAGCCGGCCGGCAGTGTGCCACTCTCCTGCGGAAGTGGGGAATGTGGCAGGGGGAACCGCCCTTCCACGGAGGTGGAAGGGTCAGTAGCCAGCCCGGGAGGAACCAGCAGCAAAGCCGGGAAGGGCCGAGCAGGCAAAAGAACAGTGCAGGGTCCTGTGTCGTTCCTCCACGAAGACGGGGAGCGACTCTTGACCATGAACCATTTATAACACACTGGCAGTTCTCTCCTTTTCACTTGCTTTGTCTTATTCTTCAAGGCTGTGACTGTGCATATTTCTGAGAAATAAACCAGAATCCTGGTTGGGAGACAAAACTCAGATCAGCCAGAAAAAGAACCTGGGTTTATGCTCAAGTTCCCTCTGCTGCCCGCTTGTACTTCAATGCTGTCATGTCATTGTTCACTTTGACTTGGTCTTTTTCATGGATTACAGACATTCCAGTGCCAGAGTGTGGCACTGGCCTCGCATATGTGCGCCAATTCGAGAACCAGCTGCTCCACTTCCAATCCAGCTCTCTGCTAGGGCCTGGGAAAGCAGTAGAGGGTGGCCCAAGTCCTCGGGCCCTTGCACCCACATGGGAGACCCAGAGGAAGCTCCTGGCTACTGGTTTTGGATCATCCCAGCCATGGCTCTTGCAGACAAGAAGGGAGAGAACCATTGAATGGAAGACCTCTCTCTCTCTCTCTCTTTCTCTCTCTCTCTCTCTTCCTCTTCTCTCTCTGTATAACTCTAACATATAAATGAATAAATCTTTAAAAAAAAAAAAGAAAAACCATGTTCACAAAAATGTCATCGAATGCAGTCCCAGAGAGACTCTTCCTTCTTTTTCTCTGGATTTTTCCAATTGGCTTACACATACCTTTCCTTTGAGGAATGAAGACAATATTCTTCCACTATACTTTGCCTCCAGAATTCCTGTTCTAGCTCGACTTGTGGAATTGTGTTTGGAATTTATCTAAGAGTTTACAACTTAATATGCTATAGAATCAATGATAGCGACTTCTTGATTCTCAAATCACTTAGAATTCCTCCAATGAACCTGGGAAGGAAAACTGTATCATAAATATATTCACAGTCTTTTGATAGTCCCCAAAGAGTCAGAGTGAGGCAAGGAATCTTATATTTTTAGGAGTTCATTTTATGTATTTAATCAAAGATGTAAAACTGAGAATAGACATTACTATCATAATATATCAGATGAGGATTTTAAAAGGATTGAATGGTAAAGGGAAGATTCAGTAGGGTTTGTATGAAGCTAAGGACACATGAAGACAAAGACGAAAGAAAAACACCCTCATTTGATGAAGGCAAAGTAGAAATGAGAAGCCCCTCCTTGTTCCATGCCTGCCTATCTGCTAAATGAAATAATTTTGTGTTCACGCTCAATCTATCTTGTTTTGATCCTATCCACTAACTGATTTAGCAAATGTAAATACTATATAAAATATGGCAGGGTGAACTGATACATGGACAGTATGCAGCATTCTGGAGTTTCATGCTATAACCCGTTTACGAAAATCATTGATCTTTGTGCCGCAGGTATACCACAGCCTAGAGACACGGTGGTCTCTGCTGATGAGAACAAAGGGGCTAACACAGGGGAAAGATGAACCCATAAGGGCAGAGGTATTCACCAGCCACCAGCTGGGTTTATCAAAGAGGGACATATAGAAAGTAAAGAAGGAAGACAGTGCATAAAAACAGAAAAATGTGCTCACTAGCATCAGGATGCTGTGGGTGGCTCTTGTCTCCGGGGAGCATTTGAGAGAGAGGTTTTTGCTGTGAATGTGTAGCACCTTCTGCTTATGTCTGTACAAAATGACCAACATGCAGCCACTGGCCAAAATCATTAACACCAAATACAAGACGTCAATGAAGGAAAACATCATGGAATACAATAAGGATATACTTCTGTCAATGATTATGCCAGAACATAACCCTAAGTCCTTTTTCTCTGTGAGGTTGTTGCTCTCCCTCATCGCTGTAATATACATAGGAACAATACTATTTGCCAACAGGTGAAGGGTCCAGCAGAGCAGAATGGAAAGTCGAATGGATTTGAGGGCTTTGACCTTGAGCTCCATCCACTGGGGGCTGCTAAGGCTGATTGTGATGGCCTGGAAGCCACTCAGGAGAGAAGTTGCACTCAGAGACGCCCCTCTGGCCACTCTGTGAACATAGAAAACTAGTTTGCATCCAAAATCGTCCATGAGATATTTCAGCCCAAAAGCTGCCATGGTCTGAGGAATGCCTTTTGAGAGAAGAACCAAGCAGTTGGCTACAATTAGGTTATGGAGAATCAAATCCATGTGCTTTATCCCTTGTCCAGTGCAGGAAAGGAAGCCATAGCAGAGAAGGAGCAGGATGTTTCCTAGGAATCCGACTCCTGTCTGAGAGACAAAGATGATTCCCATGGTCAGAGCCCTGGATGGCATGCATTCACAAGGGCAGTAGTTCACGCAAAGCCAGTAAGTCCTGGAAAGACATGGAGTTAATGTGTTTCATCAAGGAAGCTTAAGTTCATTTCTTACTTATACTCATTTTTTTTTTGCATTCAGAAATCCTACTAGAAAAATACATTCTTTGTATTTTCATAAGAGGCATTGGGATGCTTGTTGAATGTATATTCTCGCATAGCTGTTTCAGGTTTTTCTAAGAGTTTTCATCCATATTCACCTTATTCCTATATGACATACCAGTTTCTTCTCTATTTGTGATGAGTAGTGTTTTCATTAAATGCTTCTCTGCCAACTAACCAATTATTCTGGTATTTGTATGAAAGTACAGAAATTCATGTTACAATGTGGGTGATCTTTTTAATAGCAGAATTATGACAGAATAATTATTTATCACAACATTTAATTATGTATTCTAAGTGCAGTGGCATGTTAGAATGGTGAAGCCCGAGATCCCCTCTTATTTCATTGGTCCCAACAAACATTGATACTATTACAGCAAATATTTGAAAGGCAATTTTGAAAGCATGAATAGTTCATGCCAAGTAAAATATAAAATATTATGAGGAAAATAACATTAAATGATTTCAATTGTATAGTATCCATGTACCTTCGTTTCATCTGTAGAGGATGAATTCAAAATTTAGCATAATTTTAACACTAAATTTATTATTTAACTAATTAATTAGTTTTTAAAGGAATACATATTTCATAAGTACAATTTTAGGAATATAGTTATTCTTCCCACCATACCCACCCTCCCACATGCACTCCCACCCCTGCACCTCCTCTCTCTCCCCTTTACAGCCCCTTCTCCATTAAGATTCATTTTTAATTAACTTTAAACACAGAAGATCAACTCTGTACTAAGTAAAGGTTTCAACACTGTGAACACACATGCAAAATAAACACATAAACTGAGAACTACATTTACAGTTAACTCTCATAAATACAACTCATTGAGGACAGAGGTCCTACATGGGGAGTTCATACACAGTGACCCCTGTTGTTAATTTAACAGTTAACAAAAATCTATTTGACATCAGTGACCACTCAAGGCTCTTGACATGAGCTGCCTAGGCTATGAAAACCTTTCAAATGCACAAACTCCATCAGTATTTACACAAGGCCATAAGCAAAGTGGAAGTTCTCTCCTCCTTTAGAGGAAAGTACATCCTTCTTTGATGGCCACTTCTTTCTGCTGGGGTCTCACTCACAGAGATCCTTCATGTAGAACATTTTTTACCACAATGTCTTGGCTTTCCATGTCAGAAAAGCTCTCATGGGCTTTTCAGCCAAACCAGGAAGCATAAGGGCTGATTCTGAGGTCAGAGTGAGTAACACTAAATAAAAAAGTATGAAAAACCAATTGTGTCCATACAGCACAGGATGAACTAGCCTTACAATATATTTCAAGAGCCAGTGCTGTCAGGCTGCTGCCTGTGATTCCTGCACCCCATATGTGCACCAGTTCAAATCCCAGCTGTTCCACTTCCAGTCTGGCTCCCTGCTAATTTACCTGGGAAAGCAGCAGAAGATGGCCCAAGTGTTTGGGCCCCTGCACCCACAAACAGGCTTGGCCTAGTATAACGATGAATGAATATGAACTAGCAAGTTGTGTTAAAAGTAGATTATTTTTTTTAGAATAAACAACTTTATTACATGGTGGAGGACTTATTTGCCTTTCTGGGCCTTGATTTTCCTCAGATAGAACTCCAGCTCCTTGCCTTCTAGTACATAGCCATCTGCTCAGCCACACTGGCCAGGTCTTGACGCAATGCATGCGAGAAGCTTGCCCTGCTGGAACTGCTCCTCCAGCAGACTGCTGATCTTGGCATTCTTCTTCCTTTCGTCGTATTTCTTCTGAATCTTCCTTGATCATTTTTTGCTTAAAATTTCTTCCTCCTCAGGAGTCAGCTTGGTCCCCTTCTTGCGGCCCAGAGGCAGCACGTAGTGGGACTCATGCCACTGTCGGTACGGCGTGCTGTCTATAAGCATGATGCAGTTCTTCAGCAGGGTCTTGGTGTGCACCAGTTCATTATTGGAGGCATTGTAGACAACATCAATGATCCTTGTTTTGCGGGTACAACACTCGGAGCCCCAGGAGAAGTTCCCCACATCCAGCCGCAGGGCCCGGTACTTCTTATTGCCTCCAAGAACTCGCACGGTATGTATCCGCTTGGGGCCGATCTTCGTGTTGGCAGCCCGGCGGCCCAGCTCATACTTCCGCTTCTTATGGTAGGGCTTTCTTTTGCCCCCAGTTTTGCGGCACTTGTGCCAGTTGTCCTGAGAGATGCCTGTATGTGGGAGCGGGGACAGAACCTTGAACCACAGGGACTCGGAGCTGGTGGCTTGCGCTATCCAGACCCCCAGGAAACTTAATACGTTATCCCTCTTAGTATTTTTTGTTTGTTTGTTCTACTTAATACTTCTGCTTGAATACTGTAATCAATACACAGTTATTCTCAAGTGTTGAAACTTAACTGAAAAGTGATCGCTGTTAAATATAAGAGTGGGAATAAGAGAGGGAAGAAATGTGCAATTCGGAACATGCTCAAGCTGACTTACCTCAAACGGTAGAGTTAGAAACATACCAGGGGATTCCAATTCAATCCCATCAAGGTGGCATGTACCAATGCCATCTCACTAGTCCCGGTGATCAATTTCTGTTCACAATTGATCATAATGTTAGGACTAAGAGCCAAAGGGAGTACATAAACAAGACTAGTGTCTACAAATACTAGCTGATAAAATAAAAAAGTGAGAGAACGATCCAACATGGGAAGCGAGATACACAGCAGACCCATAGAATGGCAGATGTCCTAAACAGCACTCTGGCCTCAGAATCAGCCCTTAAGGCATGCGGATCTGGCTGAAAAGCCCATGAGAGTATTACAGGCATGGAAAGCCAAAACACTCTGGGGAAAAAAAAAAAAAAACTAAATGAAAGATCTCCGCGAGTGAGATCCCAGTGAAAAGAACAGGTCATCAAAGAAGGAGGTACCTTTCTCGGAAGGGAGGAGAGAACTTCCACTTTGACCACGACCTTGTCTAAATATGATCAGAGTTGGTGAACTCAAAAGGCTTCCATAGACTTGGCAACTCATGACAAGAGCCTAGGGTGATTACTGATGCCATAAACAAGACTGTCAATTTGTTAAGTCAACAACAGGAGTCACTGTGCACTTACTCCTCATGTAGGATCTCTGTCCTTAATGTGCTGTATATTGAGACTTAATGCTATAACGAGTACTCAAACAGTATTTTTCACTTTGTGTTTCTATGGGGGTGCAAACTGTTGGAATCTTACTTAATATATGTTAAACTGATTTACTGTATATAAAGAAAATTGAAAATGAATCTTGATGTGAATGGAAGGAGGGAGGGAGAGGGAAAGGGGAGGGTTGCGGGTGGGAGTGAAGTTATGGAGGGGAAGCCATTGTAATGCATAAGCTGTACTTTGGAAATTTGTATTCATTAAATAAAAGTTAAAAAAAGTAAAGGATTTATTTTTAAAAGGTAATCAAGAAAGTTTGTGCTTTTATCCTTTATCAAAGTTTCCATAAAGTTTATGTGTTGAAATTTTGTGTTTAGATCACCACACAACAAATAAGGAACCCCTAATGTAAGTTCCTATTGCAGCTTAAAGAAATAGGAAGAATTCTGATTAAATTAACCTAGATGGAGACGGGGGCAGTGTCTAATTGGAAGACATCTCCTAGGAGGCATCTTGTCGGATGCTATTAAGAATATTCGGTGGCTGTTCTAAAATGACATAGGGGAAAAGCAAACTCTGAGGTGCACCAATGGAAATTTTGAAGGAAAAATGCATTCTATAGCTTATTCAGTGGGGTAAGGCCAAACCTCTACATCACCCATAACCTATACTTATGCCAAACTAAGCCGAGTCTACTTTCACCCATATATGAGGTATTTTGATGAACTCAAACTATTGAATCATATATGTAGATTTCAGTGAAATGTGTCTGATTCTCTGTTTCTCCTAAGTTATGTCAACTTGTAGTTTAATTCCATTTTCTTTAAATACAGGATTTGGCTTCCAAACCAAAAAATTCCTCCCAACCTGTTCTTCTTTTTATTAACATACACCAGTATGTATCTCTGTGGTTTAGCCCCTAATGTATTTAAATATGTTGTTCTTTCATAGCAACACAAACACAGAGACACATGTGTACACACTCAAATACAGCACTTCACCAAATCAAGGAATACTGGAAGCCATGGGCAAATATGGATGAGATTATGGAACTCTAATGCAAATAAATAGACCTGAGAATGCATTAAAACACATCCTTGGAAACCAGAGAACGATTACAGGTCATGTTAAAATCATATGCCTGATAAGGGCACTGATGAATTTGCATCTGAAATGTGTATTCATGGAATTGTCTTTCCTCTTTAAAACTGCTTTCCTTTCTTCAAGAGGGATAAATCCTCTTAAGGATGGTGGTTCTCTCAAGACAAATGCTCACTTTCTCCTTGAATCATGTCAGGGGTTCACAATCAGTGTAACAATTTTTTAAATTCCAAAAGTGGCCATTTTCTTACCTATTGGATGCCCATGAGATGAGAGATTAGAAAATGATTCCTTATCACAGACATTGAGATAACAAGGTATGACTCCTGATATTGCTACAAAGCATCCTGAAATTCTAATGTCAGAATTACCTCCCAGAGTAAGTAAAGCATCAGATCTTCTCATTGCCGTATTCCACATCACAGCAATATCATGGGTGATCACATCCCTGAAAGGGGAGGACGGAGAAGTGGACTTGGAGTTTCTCATCTGCCTTAGCAAGCATCGCCTCTCTATGTGCAGAAGCTCGTGTCAGCACTCCAATGTCAACTTCATCAAGAAGTATAATGTTTTCAGCGATCCAACGTCACTGTTCTGGTACACAGTCATTTTCTTCTGAGTCTCTGTCTCCAGGATGGAGATGTGATCTCCTAAAATGTTGTCTTTTACCGGGAACGATGGCCCAGTGATGACAGAGGATGTGTTGTGGGGAGGCAGAAAAGCCCAGAAGAGATCATTTAGAGAAATGTCCATATACTTGATATGGACAAAGAAATAGGATCATAAAAAAGAACCAGATAATAAACCTTTGTTAGGTAAGAAGGAAAGGAAGACTGGGAAAGTGTAGACCAACTGCAAGACTAAGAAAGGGATGGCACCATGGCTCAACAGGCTAATCCTTTCTGAGCTGCATGCCTTTCAGTCACACTGGAATCTGCTGTGCACAGCCTCATTTAGAAAGACTCTGTCTGCAAGGATGGCGCGAGTGACACCCTGAGACGCTTTGCTTATTTCCCCTCTGGGCTTTTCCAGTTGGCTGAGGCAGAATTGTCCTTTGAGACATAAAGACTGCATTCATACCTCTCACGTTTTTCTCCAATTCCTATACAAGCTAGATTTGTTAAATCATGTTTGGAATGTATCTAAGGACACCACACTTACAACACATGCTTTTGCCATCATCAGTAGCATCTTGCTGGGTCTGAAATGCTGAAAGATTCTTCCAATGACCTTGAGCAGGTAACCATGTCAGAAATGTATTCCCAAAGTCTTGTTTTAGACCCCAGAAGGATCAGAGTGAAGGCAGGAGACCTATTTTCAGGAGTTCATTTCATGTATTTCTTCAATTAAGTATACCTGGGAGTAAACTTTGTTATCACAATGCCTTAGTAAAGATTCCAGGAAAGAAAATCATAGATGAGAGATTTAACAGGACTCATAAGGCAGAAAGGACAGGTGAGCACAATGACTGAGATGAAAACTCCCAGTTCTGCTCTGCAAGTGGAAGTGTGGAATCCTCCCTTGTTTCATGCTTGGCTGTTTGCTAAATTAAAAGTAAGTCAGTGATCAAGCTCTGCTATTATGCTTCTGCTTCTGTCCACAAACTTACTTAGCCAGTAAACACTTAAAGATAGGGAAGGACAAGTTTTTGCATGGACACATTCAGCATTGCACATTTTCATGCTCTGACTCATTTATGGAAATCACTGATTTTTCTGCTGCTGCATAGCATAGACTAGAGACAGGTGGGTCTTTGTTGATCAGCAGAAAGTGACTACGATGGGAAACTTGAAGCCATGAGGGCAGTGATGTTCATCAGCCACCAACTGGCTTTATCAAAGAGGGACGTATAGGAGGAAAGAAGGAAGATAGCACATAAAAAGAGAAAAAGGTGCTCACTAGGATCAGGATGTTGTGAGTGACTGTAGTCTCAGGGGAGCACCCTCTGGTCACTCTGTGAACACAGAAAACTAGTTAGCACCCCAAACCATCCATAAAATACTCCAGCCCAAAAGTTGCCATTGTCTGAGAAATCCGTTCCAGAGAAAGACCAAACAATTGTCTAAAATTAGGTTATGGAGAATCCAGTACACTTGCTTTGTCATCCATCCAGTGCAGGAAAGGAGACCATAACAAAGAAGGAGCAGGATGTTTGCTAGGATCCTGACTCCTGTGTGAGAGGCAAAGATGACTCCCATTGTCAGAGCCCTGGGAAGCATCAGTCACAAGGACAGTAGTTTCACACAGAGCAGGTCAATCCTGTAAAGAAATGCCGATAGTGGATTTCATCAAAGAAATTTAGGTTCTGCATCCGCAACTAACAATTTTTCCCACTCAGAAAAGCTGTATACAAATATATATATTCTTTGAATTTTCTGAAGATGAACATTGTGTATATATTGTCCTGTGTGTGTTTGTATGTGTTTGGGTTTTTCTAATATTTCATTCATATTTACCTTGTTTCTGTATACTGTATCATTTTCTTGCCCATTTGTGTTACAATATTCTTCTACATAGTGCTTTCATCAAATCCATCTTTGTTGACTATCCAGTTATTCCATAAGCAGTCTTGTATTTCTATGAAAAAGTAGAAATTCAAATCACAGTATTGGTGACTTGACTTATCAGAGCATAGTGGCAGAATAATTCATTATGACAATGTTGAATCATCCAATCTAAGTTCAGTTCTATAGTAGATTGGTGATGCCAAAGGTTTGTTTTGCTCTTGTTTCATTTGGGCTCAAATGCACAATCACCACACTACAGCAAATACTTGAAACCTCAGCATCTACCCAAAATATTAGTTTTAGAAAATTAAAATAATAAATACTAAAAAGAGAAAATATTAAATGATTTTATTTGCATAGTATTAATGACACTGATTTAAAATTATCAGTTGTGTCCAAATAGCTCAAGATGAGTTAGCATGAAAATATATTAAAAACACTTTACAATATCCTGAACCCTGAAAAACCTGAAGAATGATAAAGAGAACCATAATACCAGAACAATGAATGTTCCAAACTAGTTCTCTTCCAGTATAGTGACAACATAATTTTGAAAGTAATGATAAAACTCTAAATAGACAGTGACATAGCATCCTGTGATAAGGCCATTCCGCATGAGTTCCAGTGTTATACAACACACTTAAAATATCATTGCATTCTAATTCTCTTTCACAATATTCCTGAGTTTCTAGAATTACACTATGAAAAACATAAATAGGCTAATAAAAATGAATTAGCAAGTTACACTAAAACTCTTTAAAGAACACTTTAAAATAAATGTAAACAGAAAATCTGTGCTTTGCCCTTTATTACATTATTATATTAAGTTTATATGCTAAAAATTAGGGTTATATAAAACACATTACAACCCCTAATGTAAGTTCATATTGAAGTCTTAAAAAATGTGAGAATATCATGTAACCAAGATAGGGATGTACACAGTGTCCAATTTGATCATCATCCCCGTGAGATTTCTTGTCAGATGATAGCTGTTCTAAAAGTGATTTGGGGAAGAGTGGCATTTGGCGCTAAGGGACTTCCAATGGAAATGTTAAAAAATTATATTTTATTCTTATTCATATGGGTAAGGTCAAAGCTCTTGACATCACCATAACTTGTGTTCATGCCAAACCAAGCACGCTTTACAGTCACCCATGCATGGAGTAATTTGATGAACTCAAACTATTGATTCATACATGTATATGTCAGATTTCAGTGAAATGTGTCAGAGTTCCTGTTTCTCACCAGTTAGCTGAACAACACAAGCTCTGTCAACTTGGAGTTCCTCCCTCACTTTTTGTAAAATAGCAGGATTTGGCTTCCAACCAAAAATTTTCTCCCAACCAATTCATTAGCATATACCAGTATACATCTCTCCCTTTTAGCTGCTATAGAAATTAAGCATTTTCTTCTTCCATAGGAAAACACATACACAGGCACACTCAATCCTTCACTGCATCAAGTGATTAAGGAATACAGGAAGACATTGATATCTGTGGATGAGAAAACTGAACTAAGTGGTGAATAAATATATTTGACAGTAGATTGCAGCACGTTCCTGGAAACCAGAAGGAACTATTGCAAGTCACGTTAGAATCATGTATCTGTTAAAGTCATTGGATGATTTTGCATCTGATATCTGTATTTATGAAATCATTTTTCTCTTTAAAACTGATTTCCTTTCTTCAATACAGACAATTACTTCTAAAGATCAGAGCTGTCTTCAAACACTCACTCTCCCCTTTAAACACCTAGTAGTTGCCCTTGAGGTGAGAAATTAGAAAATTTCATATGATTCTTTATCACACACATGGAGATAACAAGTTATGACATCTGAAATATTTGCAATAAACTCTGAAATTGTAACTAAATAACTACCTTTCAAAGTAACTCAAACATCAGATCTACTCATTGCCATGTTCCATATCAAACTAATGTCATGGATGGTCATGCTACTGAAACAGGAGGATTCAGGGATGGACATGGGGCATCTTACCGTCAGCTCCTCTTGAGGAGTTTGGATCAGACCTTAACAAGCATCCCTCTTCTTTGAGTGGACTCTCACGTCTACGCTCCAGCACCAGTGCCACCTCTGTCAAGGCTCAGAATGTTTCCAGGAGTTCTCCTTACAGCCCCAATACAGAGCCATTTTCTTGGGAGTCTCTCTCCAGGATGGAGATGTAGTCTCCTAAAGTGTTGCCTTTTTGAAGGAGGTTGGAGCAATGATGACACTCAGAGGTTGGGAGTGAGGCAGGAGGAAAACAGCAAAACCCAGAAGAGGTCATTTAAAATTCTCTCACCTTGCTTCCCTCTAGAGCATGATTAGGCTACCACCTGTTTCAATAATGAGAGTGACTGCTTGGGGAATTGAGGGTAGCTCTAAGGAACTTTTGTCTCTTCTACCAATTGCCAAAAACAATTACCAGTGATTACTGGCTGTCTCCCAAGGATCAGAAAGAAAGAGTAGTGATGGAAACTTTGCTGTGTTCCACTGAAACTGAAAATCACTTCTTTTTGGGAGGACGGCCACTATTGCTTTCCCTCTGCCCAGACACCCTTCTGAGTGTTCTGACTCCTGGTTCATCAAATCTCTGAACAGATAATCAAAAGTTGGGGCTGACTCTGTGGCGCAGGCATTGAAATCCATGGTTTAAGTGCTGGCAACCCATATGGGAGCCGGTTTGAGTCCCGGCTGCTTCACTTCTGATCCGGCTGTCTGCTGTGGCCTGGGAAAGCAGTAGAAGATGGCCCAAGTCCTTGGGCCCCTGCACTCACATGGGAGACCTGGATGAAGCTCCTGGCTTCGGATTGGCGCAGCTCTGGACATTGCAGCCAATTTGGATGTGAACCAGTGGAAGGAACCTCCGTCCCCCCGCCTCTCCTCTCTCCTTGTACTCTTTCAAACAAAGAAATAAATCTTACAAAAAAAGGTTACCAGCATGTTACAGCTCCTCAATATCTTTCAGTCTCTTTTACAAATGGCATTGTTCCTCTTTCTTTTTTTTTGACATAAAGATTTACAAGGTGAGAAGGAGAGAGACAGAGAGAAAGGTCTTCCTTCTCTTGGTTCACCCCACCAGATGGATGGTACAGCCAGAGCTACACTGATCTGAAGCCAAGAGCCAGGTGCTTCCCCGGGTCTCCCATGTGGGTGCAGGCACCTAAGCACTTGCACCATCCTCCACTGCCCTCCTGGGCCACAGCAGAGAGCTGGACTGGAAGAGGAGCAACCAGGACTAGAACCTGGTGCTCATATGGGAGGCTGGCACTGCAGGTGGAGGATTAACCAGTGAGCCACGGCACCAGCCCCAGTGCTACTCTTCTTAAAATAACTATGCTAGCTTGTTTATCCTGTATGTTTCATGCTTCTGTGATTTCTCTTCTCACTTTTCACAAGGGAACATTTTTGGAACATTTTTACTCTTTCCAGTTCTTCAGTTCCTATGCACTTCTGGACAAATTCTAATCTGAGGTTTTTACCTGCAAATCTAATACATGAACAAACCTCTAAGCCAAGAATCATATCTTATATTTTACTTAAATTTCTCAGTAGCTGTAGATACAGGTGATATAGTTCACTTTTTTTTATATTGTGTTGGCGAGTTCCTCCACTTCTCCTATTGCTTAATAAGAAAAGACCCCACACCTCAATCATTAATCCTAGATTTATGTACATCATATTGGGAATCTTATCCAGTGTCAACAATAAATAGAAGAAACCAAACATTTCCAAAGTTTCCCTCTTTCCAGATCTCCCTCCACAACTCCACATTCTTCTGTAACCTAGTCGTGGATGTCTAACAACGTCACAAACTCCACCTAGTCAAACCTCATTCCCGACCTTTTTTCCAGCTCTTCTCTGACTGTATCCTGCCCTAGCTCAGTTGATTACAGCTGTATCCTTCAACTGAGAACAAAATCACAACACCATGCTTAGCACATTAAGGTTCCTCACTCCATGCATCCCATTCTACAAGCATTTCTGCTGGTTTCATCTACAAAATTCATCAAGAATACAGGTAACTTTCATCACCATACAAATTGCCAGCATTGACAAAGCACAAATTTTTTCCTAAAATTTTTATTGTGTTCATTTAGAACCAGAAAGACAGGAATACAGGGAGTGACAGACAGCTCTCTTCTGCTGACACACTACATCAGATTCTTCCAGTGATTGTCATTGAACCAGGATGAATTTGAAAGCCAGGAATGGGTCTAGCTCTCTCACTCTTACAGCAGGAATCCAACTTGTTTAGCCCTCAACTAATGCTTCCCAGGTGTGCAGGAGCAGAAATCAGGTCTTGAGCACAGGGACTCTGGGCATCCTAACTGGAATCCTAACTGCTAGAATCTGAACCCACCTTGCTCCATTCTCTCTTACTTGACTTTCTGCACTGCTCATCTGAATGCTATCCTTGTACACACCTTTATTTCTTCTGGAGTCAGTTCTCACTCACCAGACAGTATGCCTTTGGATCAGCTTGGTGCACTCACTGGCCACAACACGCTGGCCACGGACGCCATTGGATGGTGAACCAACGGCAAAGGAAGATCTTTCTCTCTGTCTCTCTCTGTCTGTGACTGTCCACTCTGCCTGTCCAAAAAAAAAAAAAAGAAAGAAAAGAAAAGAAAAGGAAAACACCCTTATTTGATGTAGGCAAAGTAGAAATGAGAAGCCCCTCCTTTTGCATGTCTGGCTATCTCTAAATGAAATAATTTTGTGTTCATGCTCAGTCTATCTTGTTTTGATCCTATCCGCTAACTGATTTAGCAAATATAAATACTATATAAAATATGGCAGGGTGAACTGATACATGGACAGTATGCAGCATTCTGGATTTTCATGCTATAACCCGTTTACGAAACTCATTGATCTTTGTGCCGCAGGTATACCACAGCCTAGAGACATGGGGGTCTCTGTTGATGAGCACAAAGGGGGTAACACAGGGGAAAGATGAACCCATAAGGGCAGAGGTATTCACCAGCCACCAACTGGGTTTATCAAAGAGGGACATATAGAAAGTAAAGAAGGAAGACAGTGCATAAAAACAGAAAAATGTGCTCACTAGGATCAGGATGCTGTGGGTGGCTCTTGTCTCCAGGAAGCATTTGGGAGAGAGGCTTTTGCTGTGAATGTGTAGGACCTTCTGCTTTATGTCTGTACAAAATGATCAACATGCAGCCACTGGCCCAAATCATTAACACCAAATACAACACATCAGTGAAGGAAAACATCATGGAATACCATAAGGATATACTTCTGTCAATAATTATGCCAGAACAGTACCCTAAGTCTTTTTTCCCTGTGAGATTGTTGCTTTCCCCCATCGCTGTAATATACATAGGAACAATACTATTCACCTAAAGGTGAAGGGTCCAGCAGAGCAGAATGGAAAGTCGAATGGATTTGAGGGCTTTGACCTTGAGCTCCATCCACTGGGGGCTGCTAAGGCTGATTGTGATGGCCTGGAAGCCACTCAGGAGAGAAGTTGCACTCAGAGACGCCCCTCTGGCCACTCTATGAACATAGAAAACTAGTTTGCATCCAAAATCGTCCATGAAATATTTCAGCCCAAAAGCTGCCATGGTCTGAGGAATGCCTCTCGAGAGCAGAACCAAGCAGTTGGCTACAATTAGGTTATGGAGAATCAAATCCATGTGCTTCATCCCTCGTCCAGTGCAGGAAAGGAAGCGATAGCAGAGAAGCAGCAGGATGTTTCCTAGGAATCCGACTCCTGTCTGAGAGACAAAGATGATTCCCATGGTCAGAGCCCTGGATGGCATGCAGTCACAAGGGCTGTAGTTCACGCAAAGCCAGTAAGTCCTGGAAAGAAATGGAGTTAATGTGTTTCATCAAGGAAGCTTAAGTTCATTTCTTCTTCCACCCACTGTTTTCCCCACTCAGAAATGCCTGCTAGAAAAATACATTCTTTGTATTTTCTTAAGAGGCATTGGATGCTGGCTGAGTATATCTTCTCACATGGCTATTTCAGATTTTTCTAAGAATTTTCATCCATATTTACCTTGTTCCTACATGATATATCATTTTCTTGTCTATTTGGGTTACAGTAGTGTTTTGGTTAAATGTTCCTTCTACAACTAACCAATTATTCTGGTATTTGTATGAAAATGCAGAAATCAAGTTACCTGATGGGTGAGCGATTTTATAGGAGAAGAATGACAGAATAATTATTTATCACAACATTTAATTATGTATTCTAAGTGCAGTGGCATGTCAGAATGCTGAAGTCAAAGATTTACTCTATTTTCATTGTCCCCAATGAACAATGATACTATCACAGCAAATGTTTGAAAGCAAATATTGAAAGTATGAATAACTCATGCCAACTAAAATAGAAAATAATGAAGAAAGTAATTAACTGATTTCTTTTGTATAGAATCCAAGCATATTCATTTTATATGTAGAGGATGAATTCAAACTTTAGCATAATAAGTAACACTAAATTTATTTTTAATTAATTATTTAATTTGTTTGTAAAAGAATACAAATTTCATAAGTACAATTTTAGGAATATGGTTGTTGTTCACACCATACGCACCCTCCCACCCATACTCCCACCCGTCCTCCTCTTTTCTCTCCTCTTCCAATCCCACTCTCCAGTAGGATTCATTTTTAACTAACTTTGAACCCAGAAGACCAACTCTATACTAAGTAAAGATTTCAACAATGTGCACATACCTGCATACATACACACAAAAAAAACCCGAGAACTAGTTTTACACTTACCTTGCATAAATACAACTCGTTGAGGACAGATGTCCTGCATGGGGAGTTCATACACAGTGACTGCTGTTGTTAATTTTACAGTTAACACTCTTATGTATGATGTTAGTGACCACCCAGGGCTCTTGACATGAACTGCTAGGCTATAAAAGGCTTTCGAATGCACAAACTCCATCAGTATTTAGACAAGGCCATAAGTAAAGTGGAAGTTCTCTTCTCCCTTTAGAGATAAGTACATCCTTGTTTGATGGCCACTTCTTTCTGTTGGGGTCTCACTCACAGAGATCCTTCCTGTAGAACATATTTTTACCACAGTGTCTTGGCTTTCCATGTCAGAAAAGCTCTCACTGGCTTTT